TTATATGTGTAGTGTTTGTTTCAATTCGATTAACATATTGTAGTTTTAGATTTTCTGTTTCTTCAAGTTTCATTGTGATTTCCGCTTGCTCTAGTTTATCTACTAGTTTTCGAAAATCTAGATCTGGCTCTCGAATTGAGGAAGGATGAGATGCTCTCTTTTTTATTGCTATTTTCCTTAATTGAGGTGTTAAGGTCATCATTAAAAATTCTGTCATTTTTGTGTTTTTATAGTCATGTGTATTAAGTGAATATGCTTTTCGAACTAGTGTTTCGATACGTACTGCTAATTGTTTGATGGTTTCATTTGGTAATCTGCGAATTTCATTACATAAAACTCTTTGGTGTTGTTTATTTCTTTCGGAGTCAAACATTTTTGAAAATTCTTGTGTAAATCTTTTCCAGTCTGATTTTGTTTCTATAGGTAATACTGAAAACCATTTTTGGGCTGCGCCATCTAAGGTTGTTTGTATCAATGCTGTGCGTCTATGTATCCAATTTTGATGTAGTGGCGTATTAATTGGTTAAGGTCCTACATTTAAAATTAAATTTGCTGTTACTGCATTTAAATAATCTTCTACAGAATATTCAGGATCTGTTCCTGTAAATACCATCAGTGGTTTATTTGATGTTATTGATGATCCACCCAAGAGGTATGGATTCATTGTCATCTGTAGTGATTCTGCGGCATTTGGTATTTGCGAAAAATTTGAAAGTTGATTTTTTGTTATTTCATGTTGCTGAAGGTAATATGGAAGTGGTATTTCATTTTGCATATGATTTGGTTGATACGAGTGCATAGTCATTGGGTTTTGTGGTTGAATTGGTTGAAAAGATTGTGTATTAGTTGGATTTGGCATTTGTATTGGTTGTTGATTTCGTGTGTCTGTTGGGTTTGGAGAAAAAAATTCTATTATATGTAGGAGGTCGTCGCGATCCTTGTTTGCGATATTCTTGGGTATATGGTGCAAAAATGTCTGGTTGTAAATAATCATCATCAGATAATAAATAATCCGTATGATGAGGTGTTTGCTTTTTTTTTTATTTTGTTGAAAGAATGGGTAATTTTCACTATGATCCTGTGGAGGATGTGAATTAGTTTGAAAATTTACCGAGTTGGTTGTTGTCATTGGGTTATCCCAATAGTGAGAACATACATGATTATTATTTTTTCGTGAGGGGTAGTTTGATTTTTGTTTGTGAGCATAATTATAATTATGTTCTGCAAAGGTGTTTCTTGTGAATGATTTTCGTGTTTTTGACAGTACTGTCATTAGTCTATATGTTTGATAAACCATATGTGAATATTTTGGAGCAACCGAAGGTTTAACGGCTGAATGTAAGGTTACTTGTGCCAGTGAAGTATTTGTATTTCTTGGTGTTGTTAAGTTTGGGTGTATTGGTGAAATACTTTGTTGTGTAGTTGTTGTTGTTTGGACAATTTCTTCAATTTTGAAGTGTGATGGTGTTTAAATATCTTGTTGTGTAAGATTTCTTGTTCCATTAAGGTTTTCATTGTGTATGACGGTCGAATTTAAACTGTTATTTCGTGTATCAGGTAAAAATGTATTGTAGTTTAGTGGTGTTGCATCAATGGTTAGTGATACTACTTTTACATAATCTCTGTGGTAAGATATTGTACTTATTGCTTGACTTGAGATAGATTGTGGGATATTTATAAATGTAGGATGAGACCATTCAGGGTCCCAAACGTAGTCTGATTGTTCTGTAATGGCAGTGTGTGTCGTCATTTGAATTTTGAGGTCTGAAATTTTTTCTTGCTTGTGAAATTAAGTCTAAATTATGTGTGAAATAATCTATTATAAACCATGCCAAAAGTTTTTGTAAGTCATCTTTAGTGTGTTGTGAAACATCGTTTTCAGTGAAATTTTCTTTGATTATATGTAGAAAAGTTGAAAATAATGTGATTTCATGTCGTACTTTTGTATGTTTGGATGTTTCAGTTGGTGAGATACTTTGAAATTCTGTTTTTTCTAATATAGAGATATAGGTATATATTATTGCAAAAACTTCATTAGTGAATATAGAGTTTGCTCTTTGTGAATTATGATATTGTATGCTTTTGATATATTCTAGCAAAACTTTTGAAAATTCTAATTCAAGATCATCTGTTTGAATTACATATTTACGATGATTCGTATTTGGTGTGCTGAATTCTATGGTGTAGATTCCATATTGTTGTGTTAAGTTACATATGTCTTTCAAACAATGTTCAATAATTTGTCTTTTGATTTTTACATCTGGGAATTCTGCTTTACATGGGCTGATTCCGGGTTCAAACAAATTTACAAGTAAATTCTTGCAAAATTCTTGCAAAAATTCTTGCCCACTATTATCGGGTGCATCCATGAGGAAGGGGTAAACCTCTTCGTCATCTGGACTATCGTCACTTTGAGTGTGGCTCACTTTTTTGTTTGATGACTGTTAATATATAGCTATCAATGTGTCTAATTGGTTGATTCCAATTATACAGGTGTACTGGTTTGTGTTTGTATTGCTTTTTTATTCTTCTTTTTCCTCTTTTTGATGAATTTGAAGTTGCTTCTGAATCGGAGAAATATAATTGATCGTGAATGGGACAATTTTTATCAATTGATTCTTTTAATTTGTAGATTTTATCTAAATTGCTGGCTTCTGATTCAGAAAATGCGTTTCTATTTTTTGAAAATCTTTTTCGTGTGATTTGTCTTTGTTTGTTTATAGTTTTTCTTTTTATTGTTTGTCGTTTTGTTCTAATGTATCCAACTGTTTGTGTATGGGGTGTGATTACAAGATCGTATTTTTTGTTATCTATCTCACAATTGTGTAAAACGATTGTTCGCTCATTTCCTAGGTTTTTGAATGACATAAGGCTTAGGATGAGAGATGCAAAAAGTTGTTAGATATTTCTATTTTCTTAGACTGTTAGTCCTTACGATTTTTTGGTTAGCTTAACCTGGGTCTTTTTATTTAGGGTTGGAGAGAAAAGTATATCGATTCCGAAGAATGATTTTTTAGTTTCTCGTGGCTAGTCTAAGCTAAGGTGTTAACTTACTTAATCTTACTTAGGGGTAGTGATTTTGTTCAAGGGTTGGAGAATAGTAAATCGATCCACAAGGTTCAGGTATAATTAGAACGCAAGTAGTTCGTTAGATACTATTTTAAACTTGCTAAGTCTAAGATCTATCCTGGGTCTGGTAAGAGGAGGGTTCAAGTGAAGGATGAATAACCGAAGTTTTTCACTGTTTATTTTAATTTGAATGGTTAGTTTTATTTAAAAATTTCTATTAATCTTGGGTCTTTTGGAAGGGTTGGATAGTGAATCGACGTTTGAGGTCGTTAGACACTTGCTAAGTGGGTGGGGGAGAACAAAATTGTTCTTTTTGATCCAAGGATAGGCCTTGATGATCAGGTTTTAAATTTAGTGAAATAGAGAATTAATTGAGATCCAAGGAAAAGCCTTGATGATCTGATTTTAAAATTAAGTAAATTTAAGTTTAAAATGGTTTAATTTTATTTAAGAAAAGCATTTTGTTTTTTAATGATATTGGTGAGCTTAATATTGCTGTTATGTTTAGGTGATGAAGCTGGGACAACAGATGATTTTATGATTACTAACAATTTATTGTCATGCTACTATTTTTTATTTCCATTTTCAATAAATATTTTTCAAATATGTTTTATATAAGACTGCAGAAATTAAGAAAACGAACTGAGATCTTTTTATCAATCGTTATTGTACTTTAATAATTTTGATTAGCGCCTGAAATGATCATGAAGATTGACTTCAAAATTTTATGTTTGCAGATGAAAATCTAAATTCATTGCTAATAAGATTCTAAATATAAAAGTTTGTGTTGGCTTTTGCCGTACAATCATAAAACTATATGGTAAGTTTCTACTTTGTCGTATGTCGTATCTTGTTCGAGGTCTTCTTCCAATTCCGGGTAGTTCTATTATTGTTCGGAATATCGGCTCTGATCTATTGAGTCGTAGAGACATGTCGATTAAATTATTATCGTATAACGTTTTGAAAATGTTTTGTCCAAATTCTATCTATTTTTGGTTAGTTCTAAGCTATTAAGGTCTTATTTGAGACTTATGGTCGCACCAGATGAGTTAGGACCGATGTGGTTAACTCATAGAGTAATTTCGGATAGGGTACACTGTCTGCTCGTCACGCTATCTTAATTTCGGCCGGATAGATTCGTGCAACTTCTTAGTCTACACCGATCCTAATCCTACTCTTATACTTTCTAGTCTCAGGGTGTTTAACTAGTCTCTGCTAGGCTCAATAGATCTAGGGTATACTGGTTTGTTGCGGCTGCTGAAGTTCTCTTGGAGAGACAACTAATTTCTAAGTTAAATTCAAATCTCTGTGGTGCTGAAATTACAAGTAATTTCAGCACTTACAAATAAGTGGGTTGTTAGTTAGATGGATCATGATTGGTTAATATTAAATACTTTACAGTGGTAAAATATCCAATTTATCCAATCATAAAATATAGTTTAGATCAGGTTCCAATTAACGCGCGATTTATTTCGCGCTATTAACGCGTAAGCGGAGAGTTAATCCGTCTTAGAAATCGTTCCAAATTAGTTTAACGAAGCTTATTTGTCATAATTGATTTGTTACAAGTAGCGAAATTTATCCTTTTGTACTTTATATGGCGTGTGGGGGGATGATTTTTATTTAAAAAAAATTCAAATTTTTGAAAAAAAAAATTTCATTTTGTTTTATTACTTTTAATTTTTTAATGACACTATTGCCCCATAAACCTTAATGGGCAGTCGGAACATTCAGGGTTTCGCCCTGATACGAGCAGTCTTGTTTAATTTTAAAAACATATACTCAATATTTCAAAATAGTGAACAAAAAACGTAGTAGTTCGAAACGTTGAATAAAAAATTACCATCTCGGGCTCTAATTTTTAAACATTTCATAAACACTGAACAAAAAAGTACAGTTCCATTTCTTTGTAGAAATTGTTTGTTGCTTAGATGGCTGCTGTTCATACCAAGTGGACCAGTATTTAACCAACGGCCAGAAAAATGGTCTGTCGCCAGAAGAGTATCTAAACAAAACTTTTACCTTGGACATACTCGACAGAAGCAGACCTTTAGTATATGTCAAGGTTTGTGATACTTTTTAAGAAAAAAAAGTTAATTTGAACAATACATTGTAATCTTCAACATTAAAAAAAACATTCTCTACAGATAAAAAGAAAAACGATGGAGAAATCGCAGAGAGCGCACAAATACGAACTATTTCTATGATAGATTTTCAATTTTCCACATTCTAAAATTAGTTTCACTTTTGAGAAATTTTGGAAAATTGATTCTGCAGGACGTTTTTTCACTCAGCTGAGAAGTCTAGCATTGAAGTTAAGAATTCTATTCAAATTTCATCTGCTGTTTTTTTTTGCTTGGTTTTTACTTTAGCTGATAGGGTGCGTAATTGAGAAGTTTTTACAAAGCGAGTTACTAAGGATACTAAAAATGAGCTGTAACAAATTTTTAGACTCAATTCTAAGCAATGAAAAAATTTACTGAAAGTTACTGAAAATTCACTTTTTTAAAAAATTTTGGGCGCTTTTTTTTAAACTGTTTTAGGCCAAATTTAATGATGTGGTTTGTATGAGTGTGGTCAGTCAAATTGGCTTCGGACAAGGAAAACTTCGGATTGTAGGAGGCCACGGGAAGCGACATCCTTTCATGCTTCCACCACTGGGCGGAAACAACACAGATCAGATAGCAGTGTTCCGGGGGCCTCACATAGGCGACAATTTGACAATGGCGTGGTTCGTTGTTCATGTCCTTTGCGCAGAAAAGCCAGAGTTATGTCCAGGAATCGATGCATATAGTGCTACATCCGCCAGTGACAAAATACCAGCTTTTTTGAAACCACGATATGATGCGAACTGATTCTCTCTTTGCATGTACAGAAAACACAGAACTGTCTGCATTATGTATGCAATTGTAGACATCAACCGACAGAATCATCAAAATGAAGAAAGTAACTTCTGAAAAAATAAATTGGTTACAACGGAAAAGGCTTAGTTTTTGAAAATAATTTAATGTAAGCACTGGATTCTTTCAACTGGAACAAGAGAGTAAATATCCATTCACATGAACAAAAAAATACACGGCCGATAGGTTGAGAACTGGCACCCAAGAAATGAAACTAATATTAACTTTACCAATCGTCTCGTTATGGAGCCAAACTGTGCATTCTGCGCATTATAAGCGGAATCGGCAACAGGGCAAAATCAGACTTGCCGCGGAATCCGCAACATTGCTACTTTTTTGATCTTTTCTGCTGTTTTAGATTCAACAAACAAATACCTTAAGCAATGCACCGATCAAAATTGTTCCAAAAATAGGCAAATTTGCGGAATCCGTAAATAAATTTGCAAAATCCAGAGCAGTTTGTGAAATCCACAAACAAATGATAATACACTTGTGTCGCTAAGTTGAGTTGTTGCGGAATCCTCAAACTGTATGTGGAATCCGCATTTTGTCTGCGGATTCCATTTACATATATATTAATATGTAGAAACGTTTTAATCTTCATCTTTTATTCACTAAGTGGTCACCAGCAAGTTCAATCTCAATTACTTCGTTGATCAGCTACCAGTTGTAATACCTGTCTATATCAATTTTTTACACCAACTTCGATCTCAATTCATGTAACCCAACTTCGAGCTCAATTCCGGTCAAACCTACAACTTCGATCTCAATTCCTGTAAACCCAAATTTGATCTCAACTCGTGCCACCAACCTCATTTCGACCTCAATTCCTGTCAACCCAAATTTGATCTAAATTCCTACCATCAATTTCAATTCCAGCAAAGTGAACAATTTGAACAAACTATCAAGTAGGCTCGCATCTAAATTCATCAATTCATTTCAAACAATTCAATTAAAAAAAGTTATTTAAATTTAACCTTTTTTTTTATTATTTTCAAATTGCCAAGATATAGTTTGATAAAACAACAATTTTAGGAACAAATTTTTTTGTTTTTTGAAATAAAATTAATTTCTGATGTAGTTGTTCAAGTTTTTTTCATTTTTATCTAAAACGGATCTACTCAAGTTAGTTTCTTTAATAGATATTTTTCCCTATGAGCAAATTACTCTAAATAGGTAGATGGCTTACTATGAGCAACTTTGACGGGCCGGCATAAATTCCATACTTTTACATATACTGCATACAGTGAAACGGACTGGGCAATATTATGTCTAAAAACTTTTCGGTAGTTAACCTGGACGGCATATCTACCACGGCATGCTTTTAAAAAGCATCGGAAAATGCTCTTTAAGAAATATATGTGTTCGTTGAACTAGCCCCATTTTCCTCAAACACAAAATTTCAAGATTGATGGCGTCTAAAAATTCCTGAGGTTAAACTGCCCCAAAAATTAGCAGCACACTGTGTGGATGATAACTCAATAGGCCTTTCTGGTTACTGGTGTCGCTGGAACCAATATGAAAGTTTATCCTGTCAATTTCCTCATCAAGCCAACACCTTTTTTTTGCCCGAGAAGTCGCAAAATTCTAGCTAATTGGGTGAGCGATAACACTCAGGTCGCCGCTAATTTTGTTCTAAAAACAAGCACAAGAGAATAAATCATATTTGTTTTTGGAAAAACATCGAAAATGAAACAAACAGCTTGATACAAGAAAATCTTCCACAGCAAGCTCCGCCACAACAGAAGACATTCTCAGTGTAACATCCGCATTGTCGATAGAACTCATTGCAGCAAATACTCGTTTCTTCGTGAAATCGAATTTCAAACAATCAACACTGTTTTTTTCTACGTCGCGCAAGGTAGTCGCTCCTAACTATAATCACAAATTAGAATGCGATAAATAAAAATACCGATAATGATAGGAATCAGTTGTTTCCGGAAAAGCAGTATAAGTTTCCAGTATATCAGATGCAATCGATGATAATGAATACAGACTATCAAGTTAGTAGGATTGGATTACTTAATGGATTAGTTACACATTTTATTAGTATAATGATCATTTTACCTGTATTACAACGTTGATGCATGGAGAAAATTTTAAAGAGATTTCAATTTCTGGCGACTCATTTTAATCAAGGCGACTCAAAATATCTTCCTGCGGTTTTTCCTCCTTGTTTGTTTTTTTTTGGCCGTGGGCTCCGAGGGTTTTTGTTCGGGTCTAAGTTTCTCAGCATCCTTAATCATTAACTTTATGAAATTGTCTGGCAGGATTCTCCGGCTCGTTTACTTGATTCGGCTTGTGAATCGTTTCTCAAATCGGAGTGCTTAACGTATAAAACGCCACTACCTGATGGTTCATTTCTAGCAGCCTGAGTTTTGATGACCAAACGAACTGTGCACTGGGACACAAAAGGGTCGTTGATGATGACACTCCCTTTTTTGACACTCCCAGCGTGTTCGAAAAAGACCATCGAGCCCTTGTGCAGCCACCTGGGGTTGAACGATAGCTTCTCCTTTCTCGAATTCCGCTTTATGCTGATGACGCAAGCATCATTGTTTTCGGGAAATTTTCTCATATTCCATGCTACTGCGTTTTCTTTTGTGTCTTCTATGACGCTAAAGGTGGAACTTCCCGGCCAATCAGACCATTTAATCTTTATGCATCAATCGCTGGTTAAGGATAAAATTACAGCACTTTCCCCCAGATAAAAGTGACGGCATCGAGGACTTCTATTTTTTTATTTGCCCGAAAAGTTCTTCTTAGCAAGATGACATGGATGAAAGACTCTAATATGACTGAACTGAGGAGCGATTGAATGAATGAAATGAAATGAGTCTTGGTTCAAGAATTGACTAATGACAATTTTCCTGATGCAGAACTAATCCAACACTGATAATGACGGCTTCACTGATAAGAACTGCCTTGTAGTTCCGCTTATCAGTGAAGCCGTCATCTTCAATTAGCCATCTTATCTTTAAGCAGTCATTATGCCACAGATGCTACAGTCTCCTGGTGAGCTAAAAGGAAAAGAAAGTGTCGAAGCTATTCCTTGGTGGGCTCTTATGCTGATCAAACACTTATCTTGATCTTGGTGTTCCCATTAAATTGGTGCTGATAAGATGAGTAAACTCCAATTTTGATGAGAGCTTGGCCGATAAATTGAAATCAGTTAATCCTCTTCTTGTGCTCAGTATTAGTTGCTTCTCTCATTTTTCATCTGAGTCTAGTAAAAACGTACGGACTCAAATAAAAAGTCGAACGCTGAAAGCTCATGTTCAGTGCCTTCCAGTTCTTCATCAACATTTGCAATGCCTTCTAGCATCCCTGTGCTTTCTTCACCAAATAAAATAGTATTTTGTTTGGCACCCCTTTGACAAAATATTGTTTTGACACAGTTGACCCCTTTGCGAGCACTCACGCAACCTTTCGCCTCGGTAATTCCGCCGACATCTAGGCAACCACATACCCCTCTGCGACATGTCCATTCAAGCCCCTCGATGGTATATGAGTGCCATCTTCAGCAGGATTAGACATATCCAGCCTAATTAGAGTCCAATATGTTGTCATCACCGTATCCGATTTCTCCATGGCCATAGGTGTTTCCTCACTATTGAGAAAATGAAAAAAAAACACATGAAAATGAGAGGCGGACCCACACTCCCACGGAACCACGAGACGCTAGGAACGACAAGCCCACAGGAAGCCGCAAAAGGGATCAAGCAGAGCCTGAGCATCTAGGCGAAACTGTAAGATGAAGAAATAAATTAAAAAATGAACACCTTATACAAGCATAAAAAGTTTTGGTAAACTAAGTATCTCTCGAAGCTAAAACAAAATAATATTAGCAACCTGGAAAAGTCTCCCCAGCCGAAAACCCGATGAAAACGAAACTATCAAAGAAGGCTTTTTACAAACTGTCGAGAAGTCGAATGACTGCGTCGATGAAAGAAACGAGACCTTGACCCACAAAGAACAATTGACATTGTTCAGGGCCATTGTCACGTTTCATTTCCCATGCACAGGCATGCTCAAAACAATAGAGCAATATCAACTATGTTATTCATCGGGCTTTTCGGGGCACCATAAATCTGGTGACGACTCAACTGTTCTTCGTCAATTCATTTGGGAATGCGGTATTCCGGATTGCTCCACTAGTCGATCAGCTCAAACGCCAAGTAGATTAATAAACGTTCATATTTCTTCCAAAGTGATTTATTTATCAAAATGGAAACCGACATAATATGTAATCTTCATATTATTCATCAAAATCTTCATAATATCTTCATAATATTCATCAAAATATGTAATCAATTTCATTTTTTTAGATTAGCTTCAGAAATCTGGAACAGCCGAAGCGCTCTCTTGCACATAAGGTTGCAAAGCTTATGCCTTTGTCTATCAACCCTACGTTCGACATGGAGAAGCTGAAGAAGCACGCTTCAGAAGTTCACCAGAAATTGGACGGATACAAGATTCTAAAAGTTACGTCCACCAGGGACAGCTCACACAGATCTTCGTTCAGCAGATGACGAAATTATATTAGCTGTCGAGTAAAGTTACAAACTTTTTCTCAGCAGATGACAAAATTATATTAGCTGTCGAGTAAAGTTACAAACTTTTGATCAAACCCAAGACCTGAAGATGTTGGTTGACCATGTTACGAAGCTGCTCAATCATGGATCAAACAGAAAGTTTTAACCACATGAGAAATCCACAAGCCTGTAACATACCGCCAACGACACTGAGAGCTTTCCAATGATTTCAGGAAGATTTGCAGAGTCGTGTATTGATCCAGAGCTAGGTCGGCATTTTTGATGTGGAGTTTGCTGTCTTTGGAAACTTAGCTACTTTTTCCAGTCTTATTTTTATTGACTCGATAAGTATATCTTAACAAAACTTCTTTTTTGAATCAGATATTTGACTTTTTTACTTAGTCACGAACATCAATGCCGACAAAACTGCCTCCAACCAGGAGTTCCCAGTGAACACGTATTGGAAGTTGTGGGTCCTCCTAGCCAATTGATCGACGCTTCAAATGAGGACTGTCCATTTTTTAATTGGAACGTTTGGCTGGGTT